TATTAGAGTTTTGTCTCTGCTCTAATCAAATCGGCAACCGCTCCTATTTTTTCCCCACAGTCGCGAGGCAACCAGTTTGTGTCTTGTAATTTTCCAATTGTTTTTAATTGAGAGAATTTGTTGAGGACTTATTGTTGCGCGAAAATAGTCTTACATCTTTTAGGCTGATAGAAAAAAAATCACGCCGACAGAGGGTCCATATTTTTTTTTATCCAAGATTAGAGATCTCTTTTCGGTGACATTTATTATTTGTTATCGAAGTTTGACCCAAGATTGGGGGAATCCCCTCCTACAGTATCAAATTCACTTTTCTGAAGTTGTCCTTTGATAAATATTGCGGTAACTTTTATGACATATCGGTCGCTGACATCGTCTCGCATTGACATTGAATTAAACCGTAATTGCCGCCTTCACCCATGGTATATTGTACGCTTTCGGTCACGGTGCACGTACACAAGGCTCCGAATTATTATTGCGTAGTAGGGGAACGATGACCGTCGTAAGAGGCTTCGTCGAAAACCCTAACTCCCATAGAGCTGTACCGGCTGGCCTTGGAATATGAATAGATTGCCCGCGAAGAGTGCATTGCACTGTTGCGTAACTAAGCGCGTTTTATTTGCAAGTTTTGTGACGGTAGATCGCCGCCGGCGATCTCACTTCTTATTACTATAAAATCCTTACGTAATCTCGAAATAACTATATAATATTTGCGATGTATTGCTCAACTAACGTATGCCAGCATGGTAATAAAACAGTAGTGGATTTAGATAACGCACAGACGTTCAATACAAATAAATAGAGGAGTGCCAAATACGGTCAAGGCTGGATCTTGATGTCTAATGATACTTCTGTGTGAATTATTAAATACATTTCAGAGTTCTTTGAACTGCACGCCGAACAATAGTCAACCTTTAGCAAGATTCAATAACACACTACGGAAAAATTTATAGTAATTATACAATTTCTATTGTTATTTTGAAGAAATGTCTTATATATCGCATACACTAAGAAAATATGTACTAAATTTTAATAAACATTTATTTAAATAATACTAACTCAACATTTATTTACGGTAAATATTTTTACTAAATAAAAAGATGCTAGTTAAATCAAATTAATGATTCTCATACAAAATAAATGATGTTTACAGTTAAATCTAGCTATTCAAACAAATTTATTAAAATTTAGTAAATTTTTTTTCAATGAAAAGATATTTTAAACGGCAACCTTTTTTCGTACGTTGCGATGTCAAGTCATTAGTTCATAGTCATCCCTGACTATGAACAATATCTAAATAGATACGCGCAGAACCGCGCTGAGAGTGCTCATGCGTTATCTCTACTCGCTCATTCAGTAATAGCTCGCTCGCTCGATGAGTCGATGACGGTGTTGCGGCGTGTCATAAATACGTCCCTCGAGGCTTCGCGCGCGCTCGTTACGCAATGCTCCGCCGAAATTCTTTGCAACATATTGCGCGTACATTTCTGCATGCGGCCCAATAACGGGAATAACAACGCATGTGCATGAGAAGTATCCCGCGGACCCACTACTGCGTGGCGCATTATAGAATTTATTAATAGTCTCGGGACTATACGCCGATGAACTCTGCATATTTCATTATTTCCACAAGTGTGCCGACGAACCGCGCTGCCTTCTGGCTGTTCCATGCGTCCCCGAACGCAGTTTGCATACGGGGAGTGCTCCATCTCCGACTGCCTTCACATTACGAGCGACTGCCGATTATTTCCATAGACGAAATAAGAACAGACTCTTATGGAATTGTCTAAAACTATCGTTTTAGAAAGAATGAGATAGTTTGAATCGCTCCCTCTCTCACTGAAAAAAAATTTACTAAATTTTAATACTATTATATATTTAATAGTATTTTTTTGAATATATTAATAACTAAGTAAACATTTATTTACTTATAAATATTTACTCAATTAAAAATTACTCAATAAAAGAATTATAGTTATAAATTAAATTAATGGTTTTTGTTTCAAATATGTTTATATTTAGTCAACATTTAATTAGAACTATTCGAACAAATACTTATTAAAATTTAGTTTTTTTTTTTCAGTGTAAAGTATCGAGACTTTTGAAAAGTATTAAGATTAAAGAAATGCTAATATAATTTAATTCTTTGTACGGAGCACAGATTGCTACACTGTAAAAAATAAAATGTTAATTTTATTTTTTACAGTGTAAGATCAAGGAATGCGCAGTCTATGATTATATTTTATAAAACTCAAAATTTATTCTTTTTATAATAATTAAACAGCAAATTATGTGAAAATCTCTTTATAGGTATTCTTGTTCTTATTGTACACCAAGATACTGCATTTGTGCGTCCAAACTCCGCTTATGAAAGTCATAAGCGACGAAGGAAGATAAACGCCCACACGGATACACGGCTATTAGCCCTTGCATCGCGCATAATGAGCTGTACCGTAAATGTGGATGACTTGAGAAAAGTGTAGATGACTTGGGACAGCATGTATTTTTGTTAAATTCAATCGTGGAATCCATCCATGAGTCTCAAAAGGAAGTTTAAAACTTAAACTTCCATATTTGACCCAAATACCTGTAACACGCTTATCTTATATTGGACAGATTGTAAAAGCAGGGAGATTATTAATGTATAGCGATTAAAATAACGCGATAGTGCAACAAAATTGTTCTCGATTGAAATTCGATATCAAAGGTATATTCGATATTCGTTAGATAAAGAGAGACGCTTGTCATTATTATACACGAGACAAGTTCATGATGCAAACGTATTCCAACAAGCACCGCGGGTGAACGCGGTATCACAGAGTCGTTGAATCCTCTCCCTCGGGTACACAGCAAATCCAATATTCGTCGGATAAGAGGTTTGAAATTGAGCGCAACGGGGAGTACAAGGAAATATGATATCGCGCTGAGAGGAAGCTCAAAGAGTTGGATACACTTTGTGTACCGGGAGCCACTCGGAAAGACAGGTGCTTTGAGCCACCTGGTCGTGCCCTCGTCACCTTCCTCCTTTCTCTTCTCGCACTTGATTTCCTTATTCGGAAGGCAATGCGATGAGACTTCTTCCCACATTCGTCTAAACGCATGAAGCTCTTTTATGAAACATTCCGTTCGCCTAATTCGCACGGAATCATCACAAAATAATAATGAAGTAACACACGAGATAGTTATACCGATAACAAAAATACATACATTATTGTATGCAGCTAATTTTTGTTAATTAAATCAGTACGCAAAAAAATATTTTGCTGCTCCAGCTAGAATTATAGCTGTTTTTTGTATCTGATAGAAAATTATGTATCATACGCATAGAATTTATAGCACAAATCTAAATTCTATCTCTGTCTTCTATATGATTTGATGCAATATATATCCAATATCGCAGTACTTGCTAGAAATTTATCTATTTCAACTATTTTTCGTACTTAGATAATTTTCGCTGTAACTACAAGATCACTTTTTTGAGCGAGTCTTAAGGACTTTCAATAAATCAATCAAAAAATGCTTTGTAAACATTATAACAAAAATTTGAGGGTTTTTCTTTTAAAGAAATTTGTCGGGATGTTTAGCTACATCGCAGAGGCTTCGACGATCGGTTACGGTCACGGTTTCTTTTTCTTTTTTACACGCAACCGTTCGTGGACACTCGCTTTACGTGCAGCGGTCGCTCGTGTCATATTACACGCCCGCGCGCTAGCGAACGCGCATTATACTTGCGTGAATTACGAATTACGGAAGATCGTGTCCGAAGATGACCTACATACGCAGCGGGCTGCGAGAAAGGGCATCGACGTCAGGCGTGCTAGCCTCGGTTCCTTTATGTCGCGTTGTAGAGAGGGAAATGGTGGGCCGCTTGAAAAAAAAGGGTTCGTCGGTCACCGGCTTTCTTTGCATGCTGAAATTCCCGCGCTCGTCTGCTGCGCGTGATGGTGCCCGTTTATATTGTAAGTCGTGAGAAAGAAAAGGCCCGAGCGTCTTGTGCGTGCATCAAAAATTTTAATGTGCTAATTTCGCCGATTGAGTTTGATTCGCATGATTATGGAATATAGAAGCGCGAGGCTAATATCTGAGTATTTTTTTCTGCGATATACTTTTAACTCTTCGCCGGTAACAAAGAATTTTAATTCTTCCGCTCGTCAGCAGTAGGGGTCTTTGAAAAAGAACAAATTTTTGTATTGTTCCGGATTGTATAAAAACTGATATAAATTCTGATAAAAAATTCTAGTATACTTGTTAAAGCTTTAAGAATAAGTTCTTACTATCATAGAAGTATCGCATTCTATTTTACTTATTTGTTTACAAATTTAAATTTCCAGAATTCACAATTAAAGTATAATCCGTAGTGCTTTTAAGAAGGTTCTCTAGTCACTTGACATAATATAGGAACTTGATCAAATTTTGAGAATAAATTTGTTATAAAAATAGAGGCATTCCTAAATTAAAAAAAATTTTTTTTACCATCTGGATCGAAAGTTATTTCAATAAAAAAAGTAATATTTTTTAAATTTGTACTCTAATAGAAATATATGAAAATGTATTACAAAATAATGATAAAAATCTCCATTTTTTTATATAAGTATTTTTTTAGTACTTAATATATTTATATAAAAAAATTTAGATTTTTATTATTATTTAAAAAAATTTTTGTTTATAACAATAAAACTAATAACAAATAAAATAAATAATCTATAAAAATGTGTTCAATGAAAACAGAATGTTATGAACACAATTTTCACATGTATGTAGTTTGTCTAAATATTAATATATGTGTTTTATGACTGGAGAACCTCCTTAAAAAGATCTTATGTTGCGGCAAAAAATTAATTTATTCAATTATAAATGAAATGACTTTAATTTACTCAGTCATTAAAAAAATTATTAGTGACGGTCGTCAAATATTTTCTTTTGATAATAGTATATTTGGCGAAAGTATGTACTTTTTTACATCGTTTATATTTTGAAGCCAATACATCCTATTTGTGTTTCAGGAGTTACGTTCAAAGCGCACAGGTTAATCCTCGCAGCATGCAGCAAGCATTTTCAGGAGCTTTTCGAAGTATGCCGCCTTCTCCCGCGGGATTGATCGTTATTCTCGATGGGACGAGTGCCCACAATATGGCATCCCTCCTCGAATTCATGTACCGTGGAGAGGTACATGTGTCCCAGGAATCTCTTAGCTCCTTCCTCAAGGCAGCTGAATGCCTTCAAGTATGTGCCTGTCTCTTTTTCCGTAAATAATGACCCTAAATAATGTTCCCCGAATAATTATACACGTGGCGCTTTGAAATGCGCACTGGCTAAAGTCTATGTGTCATTTATATCGTAGAAGAGTCAAATCGTTTGTCAAGCTTATTTCGGAAATGCGTTGTTGCCCCTGAACTTTGTATCGCATGTTTTTATTCGATATTTTCAAGTATTTACTGCAAAAATATGTGATTTTACTTAATTGATACACCGTTGAAAAACTTGTGACGAATATAACACATTTCACATGTTCCAAATGATCCATTTAAATTTTTGTATTCATTTAACATAAGATGAATATATTAGAAAACAACAAAGATATTATGTGAAAAAAATGTTCACAAAAAAGATGATGTTGACATGATGTACAGTTTGTAAACAAATTGTGAAAATATATATTTTTTAGTATAATTAATATTTATGATGTGTTAAATTAACACATATCTTAGAATTTGCATTTTAAATATTATTCTTATATTACTTGTTTACTTACTCATAAATTGTCATATTTTGACACTAAGAAACATTGGATATCAATTTATATCAATTTAATACAAAATATTTAAATAATATATCACATTATGTTAAATTAATACTTGAATATGTTAAAAAATTCAACACAAACTGTTAACAAGAACGTGAGTGGATTGTTTCCAACACAAATACACATTTTTAACGTACACGTTGAGAGTTACGTGGAATGTTCATTAACATAATCCAATAATACTTACGGGAACTTTTTAAATGCAATAAATATTTTTATAATCCCCTTAAATTATATATAATATATATTTTATATATACTATCCTAATAATTCTTTTAGTATATCACACAATATTTTTATATCGTTATGCAATATTACTTATATTATTTCCTTCTGATATTTTCTAAAATATATTCATTCATCCATAATTCTTTTCTTTTCCAGGTTAAAGGTCTATCGATCATCGAGCACGAAAAGCTGGCGGTGGCACAGAGGCACGCTGCGGAGAGCAGCAACACCTCCGCGGACGCAGAGAGCAGTGGCGATGTTACTGCTCTCCGTGGAGGCGGGGGTAACGGAGGCGGTGGTAGCGGTAGCGTCGGGGGTAGCGTCGGCAGCGGTAGCGTCGGCAGTGGTAGCATCGGTGCTACCATCGGCAACGGGGGCGGTGTTAGCGGCGTCGGTGATATGAACGACATGAGCGAGGCAGTCAGGAACATCATGAAGAGGACCCCCACACCGGCGCCGTCGCCCGCCTCGGAATACATCGTGCCCAATATGTACGCCACCTCTCATTATTGCGAGAGCCTGCCGAAGAGGTTGATGAGGTAAGGATCTTTCGCCGAGGTGCGAAACTCTTTTACGAGGAACTGGCCACGAATAGCCTTCCTTCATTCTAATGGTGATGACGTATGTGACAATCCGCGAACGACAAAGCAATATCTAAATTATCATATTTCCGATAAGGAAGTGATCGTTATGGTAAAGCGATCTCTTTTACGATTTTTTTCGAATTTCTATCTCAGCTTGTCAGAATATTATCTACTTTTATGATCAAAATAGTTTTTCGCCAATTATGTTGCGCGGATGTTGCGCTAATCATCAAGACCATCTAATCTTCCAAGGAGCTTTGTCGTATAAAGAATATTTCGGATATTTCTTCATTTGCCACACTTCGCGTTACGTTAATTTCCGGATTGAGGATGCTCTCCGTGCTTCCTCTTCATCGTATTACGCGTGTTTACCAAATATTCGCACCATGTTACGTGTTCTTGCCAATTCACTCGCGTAAGATTATATGAGCTGCGACCGCATATTTTTAGATCGCCGAGCGACGTCGATACGTTAGGAAGAGCGAGCGTGTTGCGCGACGGCCCTGCCTTCCGGCCGGCATCCGCCCCGCATCCACTGTTGGAAAATCACTTCTATCAATCGTTCACCCATCCCTCTGAAATTCATTCGCATTCCCACACCGCGCCACACACGCCCACGGAACTGGAACAGCAGCTGGAACGAGCGCGGTCCGAGGAACGCAGCAAATGTGATCTCAAGGAAAGCGTTGCCGAAGGTGAGATAGACCCACTACGACAAAACCGATATAAAATCGATCTAAAGATTCCACCGACCTGTCCTGCAACTGAGCTCTTGATCTCGTGTTCGCAGACCTTCGAATAAAACAGGAGCCAGTGGAGACCGATCGAGAGAGGGTGGAGAAATTGGCGGAGAGATTGTCCAAGCGGGAAGACGAGGCTTATCCCGGACGGGGGTTTGACGCGGGCTTGTACAGATCGAACTCGGACCATCTACATGGAGCACAGCTGGGTCCGACGATGGTGCCGATGCCGGCAGTTCATCCGCCGACTCCCGATCAGAGTCCCGCCGCGCTTCCCGCTCTCGCTATGTGGAACTCGAAGATCAACAAGGCCAGCACTGTCTATACTGTCGACGGCGGTGAGTGCTATTCATTGTTTTTAAGTTATGGGACATCGTCTGTACTTACGCGTACGGCGCGATTGAGTCTTTAATTCGGCGGAGATTCGATTTGGCTGACGCGTTGAGAAAATGAGATTTTTTGTGCTTAACTTTAACGTAAAAATATTTTATCCAACTCGTGTGATGCTCTATTCTCTAAATTCTTTGGAGTGGAATCTCACTAAAGAGTGAAAATTGAGTCAGTCTTAAAAAAGAGTAGCTTAATTTTCAGTTTTTAAGAATGAGATTCATTCTAAAAATTGTAGAGAGCACTTAATAGATTATTCGTGAAACATTACGGGCTTTCTACAATAAGTCATTGCCTAAGCTTTAAGTCTTAAGCTATAAGAAATTGACAAATCATAACCGATTCTTCTTACATTCGACTGTGGTTGGTTAATTTCTTATGACTTAAGACTTAAAACTTAAGTAATGGCTTATTGTAGAAAGCCTATTAATCATGTTGACGGGCAGTAATATTAGATCGCTTTGTAGGTATTTGTACAGATAACAACGCAGTTAAATCTATTGACGCAATTAAGTCTAGTGAACTCAAGGATGATGTAGCAAGTGAACGGGTTCGAATTGAGTAAAACCTTGCAAGTTTGTTGAACCTCACGTCCGCGTGTTTTTTAATTCGTCATGTGTATTTTAATTCATCGTCAAAATATACAGAGTAAGTGCGAATGATCAATTTCTTTGCTACGATCATTTTGGAAAATTAAATTTTACGACTTAAGATATGCGCGATATTTGACCGACAAGCCATTTAATTGGGTGATATACATATTACCCAACGCTCTCGATCCGACTTTATCTATAGTCCAATATGCCGGATAAGAAGGCCTTCTGGCCACAGAGTTACAAAATGCACGAGCGTTGCATCATCAGCTGCACGTGGGGCCTGACCACGGATGTTGCAACTGCCGCGTTTCTCTCATCCTTGCACCATTCTACCACTTCTCTTCGGATCGTCTCGCGGCAAGAGATAAAACAGTGCATCGTAAAAAGAAGCCGCGCTTTGGAAAGCGTCGTCTGATGTTCTCCGAACTATCCCACGTTCTCGATGACGAACGGATCTTTTAACGGATTTAAAACAAATTAAAAACAATCTTTCTTCTCATTCAATTTCTTGACTTTCAAAAAGGATAGGAAAATCGATCTCAGACTGATCAAAGAATATATAGAACCGAGAGATAGTACGGTTTTCGGAACGGTTTTCGTATAGATCTTTTTTTCATCCACGTGTACGTCAGTCTCCGCTTCGGCGACGCTCTAACGTGCAGAAAGAGAGAGCGACGACGCTGTACGTGGATGTACGTGGATTTACCGGGTCTCCCCGTCCGTGCCCTGGGACGGGGTGATGCCTTACGACTTGCCTTCACGGTGTGAACAAAGTGTACAAAGAGGATGCAGGCGACGGTGCAGCCACTGGGAACATCTTTTGCTCCGGCGAGCAAATCACCGAGCGTGATGCTACGACGACGCCACGTGAAACAGGTGCGACGGACGCCGGCCACCAACACCGACCCGATTCGACGTCGGCGTCGCGGCGACCGTGTGCCATCGCGGATGACACCCCGACCATTTTTAATCGCCCGCTCGCTCGTCCGCCGCAAAGAAAGTAACGGAGCGTCAACTAATGCAACGGTTATTGACATTAGGCCCGCAGAGGAGAAAAGGCAAAGAAACGGGAAGGACAGGGGAGGTAATCCGTGCATGTTAAACGTGCTCAAGAAAGAGTAAAAGAAGTTCGCTGATAGGCGGAGAAGCTATTTATTAATGTATCAAAGTTCGGAGCGGTCCATGCGGTCGTCTCGAAAGCCTTCCTTTGCACTTTACGTTACTTCGAGATTTTCAAAGAGACTTGGAACGTGTCGAAAAAAAATTAGATTAATATCGTTGCGTCATGAACGCGACGTTAAAAAAACTTGAAATAAAAGAATTTTCTGAGGCTGACTCTAGTATTTCATTCTTATGTCGAATCTGCCACCGTAAAATATATTCGTTATCGTCTATTTCGCGTTTCCTAAACTGTTTTGAATTACGCGTCTCTCATCTCTCATTGAAACAAAACATTGAAACAAGAATTTTGCCGCTCTTAAATTATTCAAAAGTCGTGCGAAGACACAAAGAGGTGCAAAGACGTAAATCTCTGAAAAGATATATTATTAAAAAAAAAAATAGAGACAGTCAGGATATTCTGTTGCGTTAACGTGACCGTAGCCAAGAATTCTTCGAAGCTCTGTTCGAGTGAGAAGGAATACGGCGAGAGAGCCATAGTGGCGCGGTGAGAAAATTCGTGACCGTTGCATTGTTGAGTTATTCTATCGGGAGTACAGTTATGCTCACCGAGAATCCGTCGTTAAAGCGTTACTTTTTGTTAGAGCCTTCGTTAGAAACTGTGCTACTTCGCCGTACCGATCATCGCCTCGGCGTGGAATTTATGCGACATCGCAGTGCTATTGCGCAAGTTATTTTAGCAAGGGAAAAAAACCGAACCGTGAGGTGTGCGTGTATGCTTCGCGTGTCCATAAGATTTGAATTTTATGGAATCTGTTCAAGCGGTCTCGAATTAGAATCACTTTTTATTACTCTCTGCCCACAAAACGACACTTTCTTATTTTTCTCGCATGTGTTGTTAATTAGATAACTGTTAGTTAGATAACTGTTCGTATTAAATATGTACAAAATTATTAATGATTCGACATAAAAAGTGTTTAAATATCGAGAATAAAAATTTCTAGTGTTATGATCTTTCGAAATACTTTGTTTATTTGAAGAGACAAAATGGACAAAGAGACTACATAGAAAGGACGATTTGTTGCATCTAAAAATTTAATTAGCTATAGATCTGATAATAATTTTATTGGACATTAAAATAATTATATAGGACGCTCAAATATAGGTTGCTAAAATATCAAAATTTTTTGCAGCATTCATCAATAAGCATTCTACATAATTATTTTAATGGTCCAAGATAATTATTTTCAAATCTGTATCTAATATATCATAGCTAAATTTTTAAGTATTTTAGCAAAATCTTTCTGCGTACTATATATTCTTTTTGTAAGAACTTTTGCAGCGTGACGTTTGATCTTGCCGCTAACTGTATTTATTGCTGAAGAACTATCATATATTGATAAATGAAAATTATATAAAAGCAGCATCGAAATGAAACAAACAAGACTTTCGAAAGCATGATCGTAAAACTGTATATACTTTTTTTTGATGTTTCATTTTTCTAACTGCAGTACTTTCTCTTAAATTCCAAATATCACTTCTTGACTTTCTATTAAGAATACGAACTCCATAAAATAATCGATTGATATTGTATGACTGTCTTATGTTTGAAAGAAAAATACTGATTTGTGAGACTCGCATTTTTATACTTAAAAGAAATTTCTAAGTTTACTGTGATAGTACCATAAGATTATCAATTAAATAAGTCACATTGAGATTCGATGCGAAAGACACGCACCGTGATGATACAACGGCATGACGTTCGATAAAATATTTCGCTCGGAACAAAAAAAAATTCATTATCATTTCATTCATTCTTCAACCCTCAATATCGTTCTGCAACGCATGCATCGACGACTTGTCGGTTATTTATGCTTCTACCATCATGAGTTATTTATGCAGTTATGGTACACCAATTACAGCGAGAGTCTGGCGACTGCCCGCGAGCAGTAATAAAGGTGGAGGAATAGTTGGGCGACATATGAAACGACGCAGAAAGCGAAAGTGTTCTCTCGGGGGGGCTAACATGTCTCTTGCTCAGTCCATTCTGTCGAAGCGGAGAATTCTCGATGTTGCTTAATTTGTTCTCTCGCTACCTGTGCCCTTCGCAACAGAAACACGCGAGAAAACTCGCGTCCCTCGCTCGTCTAATTCGCCCCGCTGAATTATGAATGGAGCTTCGTGCGAGGGAAGATAGGGGTAGTGCAGTTGCATCGGACATGTGCGGGTTCACACAGGTGCATGTCGTCGCCGGCCCTTGTCTTCTCTCGGCCGATTATTTTTTTCTTTTGCTACCTCCCTCCCTGTCCGCTTCTTTTTTTTTTATTCTCCTTATAGAAGGACCTCGCAACCCTTCTGCAATTTTGCGCGCGTGCCTCGTAAAAGTTTCAGCTAGACTTGCGACAAACTTTAGCGAGAAAGCTCGTACAAGCAGCGACTCGCTTAAACATTAATTCGTCATTTCCGAGTATTAATTTTACGTGCGCCTTCAAGGCGGCGTGCCTGCGATGACGTTTGGCTGAATGACGGTTTCGCATCGCTATGGAAAGTACAAAGGTTTGTTTAACGGAGGCAAACATTGGCTGCGTTCAGCAGAAAAAGCAATTTTGTTGTCAAATTCTTTAATATGATTGCTTTAGCCCTTAGTTTTCTTAATTGAATCTAAATAAACCAATTATATTAAAAAATCTAATAATTGTAAAACTGTTTTTTCTGTTGAACGTAACCATTGTCAACGCGATACGAGAAGATACAAGATAGAAATATCATTATCATTAATATAACTGCAGGGATACTCTTAGATATTTTTTTTATCTTTACGAAAGCTACTATTAACTCCAAAAACGTATCATCAAATTCTGATATTTTATTATTTTTTGCAAAATTCCAAAGATATAAACTTTTCCTATTTAAATTCGATCGTTATTATTATGAATAATTTTTCAACATTCACGCCCCATGCACGCAAGTTGCCATTACATGCCATTTAAAAACGAGGCCGCTCATTCGGCTAGCAGGTTCTTAGAAACGATTAGATATAATTCAGCCTTGCCGCGGCGTTTTACTGTCGTCGTCACGAGACCTTCCATCACCGAAAATCGTTGCACAAGAGGAATGTGGAGCCTTTGCCCATTACATTGCGGCAATGCGTCGAAAATCGTGCAACCGCACTAGCTTTCCTTCCTACACACCAACTATGTCGATTAAACGACTCTGTTACGTCAGGCCTTGGAACG